ACCAACTCCAATGCGGTCGTGGCATCCGGGCGACCTCCAAGGACCCCTCAATTGCAAGATTTGATGAAGATTTGCAAAACCCCCAATTTTGGACCCAATTTCGAATTTTAGGGTTTTTTCGAGTAGAAAAATTCAGATTCGAGAAGTTACAGGCCAAATTAGACAAAATGGTTTGGATATTATTGATCCTCGTCTCAAGACGAAGAGAATGACATTGGTCCCGACGGAATCGGAAAAAGTTCATTTTCCGGCGACTTTGACCGGCGGGCGGCGGCGGCGGGGCGTGGAAGAAAAGAAAAGAAGAAATGGGGTCAAATTGAAAATTTTAAAATATATAAAATTCGAATTTGGCCCTAATGACCGGAAGTTAACCTAGAAATGGGCTAATGGCTCATTAGTGAAAGGATTGTGTAAGTTCAGGGATTTTTGTGAAAGGATTTGAAGTTCAGGTACCACTTCGAAATTTCAGCTAAAGTTCAGGTACCATTTGTGAAATTTACCCTCAAAACCTGTCATAGAAACAAACACAGTTTAGTACGACGTAGGCGTAAACTTGTGTTCCAACAATTTCCCCCTTTTTGATAATGGCAAACAAGACGGGGATATGCATACTAAGGGATGTTTGTTTTTCAAAAGGTTGTGAAAAAGTTCGCCCTTAATTTGTGCAAAAAAAAATTTGTTGGATTAAGATCAAAAGGTCTCATTTATAGAGACGTTCCCCCTTAGTATATGCATAGCCCTTTTCTTCCCCCTTTTGACATTAACAAAAAGATGATTTTATTTATTAAAGGAAATAGTGGAGTACAACGGAAGCATTAAAAGAAACAAGATAATTAAGGTAAAAGAGATAGAAATTCTAGGGGAGTCCTAGTCTTCGTCTTCGGTTTCCTCCTCCTCGTCGTCGACGTCCATCTCATCCCCATCGATGGCATCGTCGAACTCGTCTTCATCCGGGGAGCTTGACGGGGCGTAGGAGTCGTCGGCTTCGTCTTCGTCACCGTACACTTGCCTAAGGAACGTGCTGTGGAACGGTGGGGGGACGTAGTTGATGCCTTGGAAGTACGCGTTCATGGCGTACCCTTGGCATTGAACAGCTACATCGAGCCGCTCAAGGTAGCCTCCCATCCCGTCAACTTTGATGTGTAGCGGGTTGAGGGAGTCAGCGATGGAGGCAAGGTTGGCCCGGGCCTGGGGTTCGGCTTGGCCAACGGCAGTGGCAGTGCGGCGTGGCGCGACAGTGGCAGTGCGGCGTGGCGCGGCAGTGGCAGGCGCGGCGTTGTCCGACCGCTTGAGGAAGGTTTGGTTGTTGATTGTCCAAATCTTCGTGGCCTTCGAGAGCGGGCCAACAGTGGTGGTTACCTTGAACCGTTCAAGGATGTCCATCACCAAAAACGGGTACGGGAGGAGGTGGTCGTGCTCGGTGGACGCGGCAATCGTCATGTTGATCATGACAAACTTTGCCCAATTGATTGGGGCCAAATGCATGATCGCATGGATAAGCTTGAGATCTTCACCGTGCATGATGGTGTGGCCGTGCTTCCGGGGTTTGATGATCTGGGTGACGATGTAGAGGACGAGGCGGCCTTCGGGGTTGGCGGAGTGATGGTTGGGCGGCCCGAGGCATGGCGTTTGAGCTCGGTGATGCCAAGCTCGTTGAGAATTAGGCCCTCGTTGTTGAGCACCCAATCCTCTCCACCATAGTGAGACACATCGTCGCCTTGGAAGGGGAGGCCGGCGATGCGCCCAAGCTGCTCCACGGTGAGCTCGATAGGCGTGCTCTTGACGAGCGAGTAGAGCACGTCGTCCTCACGCCGGAGGTTGGAGTAGAAGGCCTGGATCAGCGCCGGGTTAATCTCCTTGCGCGCCTGGGAGACGAACGGCCAAAGGCCGGCTTGATGAAGCTGTGCGTCGAGGTCGTCGTAGCCCTGCAACTCCAGGTAGCGCTCCGGGATGATTCGTGGGGGAGCCACAACCCGTTTGGAGAAAAAGGTGAGAAATCGGGTGCGCTCCTCCTCGGAATCGAACCAGAGGTACGACCCATCGCCGTAGTAGAGGCGTTCCTCGGAGGTCGTGGATGGAGCCCGGGATTTGGACTTGGATTTTCCGGAAGTGCCTGCCCTACTCTTGTCTTTGCCCATAGTGAAGAAATAAAAAAAAATTAGAGTAGAGATGATGAAATATGTGAAGATATTGAAGGAATATGTGTTTGTGTGTGTAAAAGTGAAGAGAGGGGGTCCCAATTTATAGAAAAGGTGGTCTCCAACGGCCTGATTTTCAAAATTATGGCTGTTGGAGAAGTTAATGTTGCTGCCAACGGATATTTTTTTGAAAATTTTGACCAGAACAACGATGTTCTACAGGCGACATCGCTGTTGGGACAACGATGTTGTTCCTTGTACAGCGCTGTTCTGCGTCATGTTTTTAGAAAAACAGAAGTCAAGAGGACAGCAATGTTGGGTACCCTACAGCGATGTTCCAAAAGTTTCTGGAATTGTGTAAGGGTGTGAACCCATTAGAACAGCGCTGTTGGGTTTCTTCTCTACATCGCTGTTTTGCGATAGAGGAAAAAATTTGTAAAAGTGGTCATCGATGTTGAAGGTAAGACATCGCTGTTTAAAAAGTTTCTGGTTTTGGTTGAAAACAAAAAGTTTTGGGAAGACAGCGATGTTTAAAAGGGAACATCGATGTTCAAAAAGTTTCTGGAAAGTGAAGATTGAAGGGACTCCCTGGGACATCGCTGTTGGCTTGTTGTACAGTGCTGTTCGACAACTTTCTGGCTGACGGTGTTTCCTTCAACAGCGCTGTTGTGTCTCCTAGACAGCGCTGTTTGCATGGTTCCCCCTGATTTCATGAACGGGGTACCTGCAAAAAAGAAAAAAAGTTCTCCGACGCTCAAGTTAGTAAATGTTAAAAAAAATTAGATGCACAACTTAGATCATCGTGGAGTCAAGGATTCCGAGTTCACTTCGAATGCGGAAGAACGACTCTTTCTCTAAACGTTTTGTGAAAATGTCGGCTAATTGGTTGTGTGTTTCAACAAACTCAATTTCGACATCACCTTTGAGAACATGATCTCTAATGAAATGATGCCTAATGTCAATATGTTTCGTCCTTGAGTGAAGAACGGGGTTCTTCGTCAAGCTTATGGCGCTAGTATTATCACAACGAAGAGGGACGTGATTGATACTAAGGCCATAGTCCACGAGTTGTTGCTTCATCCAAAGGATTTGAGCACAACAACTGCCGGCGGCTACATATTCCGCTTCGATTGTGGATAACGCAACACTGACTTGTTTCTTACTAAACCATGAGACTAGGGAGCTACCAAGTAAGTGGCAAGTCCCACTCGTACTTTTACGGTCTAGTTTACAACCGGCAAAGTCCGAGTCGGAATAACCAACGAGATGACACGAAGAGCCTTTTGGATACCACAGTCCAACGTTAACCATGCCGGCAAGGTATTTCATAATCCGTTTTACCGCCGTTAAGTGCGACTCCTTCGGACACGATTGATACCTTGCGCAAAGGCAAACGCTAAACATGATATTCGGCCTACTAGCGGTAAGATAAAGAAGGGATCCGATCATACCTCGATACTTTTTGACCTCTACTTCCTTACCTTTCTCGTCTTTGTCAAGATGATCAAACGTACTCATCGGGGTCGCCATGGCTTTGGCGTTGTCCATTTCAAACCGTTTTAGGAGCTCCTTGCAGTATTTCGCTTGGCAAATGAACGTTCCATCTTTCATTTGCTTAACTTGGAGTCCCAAAAAGAATGTGAGCTCGCCCATCATTGAATTTTCAAATTCGCTAGTCATTAGCGTTGAGAATTCCTTGCACAAAGACTCGTTAGTAGCACCGAATATAATGTCGTCTACATAAACTTGAACCAAAAGGATGTTATTGTTTTTACTCTTGATAAAAAGTGTGGTGTCTACCTTTCCCCTTTGGAAACCACTATCCAAAAGAAATTTGCTCAAACGTTCGTACCAAGCACGTGGTGCTTGTTTAAGACCGTAGAGCGCTTTCTTGAGTTTGAAGACGTGATTGGGAAACTCAAAGTCCTCAAACCCCGGGGGCTGGTCAACATACACTTCCTCTTGAATAAAACCATTGAGGAAGGAACTCTTAACATCCATTTGATAAAGTTTAAAATCCATAGACGAAGCAAAAGCAAGAAGTAAACGAATAGCTTCTAAACGTGCTACAGGTGCATAAGTTTCTTCAAAATCAATGCCTTCTTCTTGATTGTAGCCTTTAGCTACGAGCCTAGCTTTGTTTCTAGTGATTATTCTATTTTCATCAAGTTTGTTACGGAACACCCATTTCGTACCAATAATCGTACGATCATCGGGCCTTGGCATTAATTCCCAAACGTCATTCCGTTTGAATTGGTTTAGCTCCTCTTGCATAGCCAAGGTCCAATGTTCATCGTTTATTGCTTCAGAAATGGTTGTAGGTTCAATTTGAGATACAAAAGCCATGTGTCCTACGGTGTCCCTAAGAGAGTTACGAGTACTTACCCCGCGGTTGATGCTACCGATTACCTGGTCAAGTGGATGGTTCCTGTGCCTTCTCAGTGCGATGGGAAGCTCGGTTTCCTCTTGTTCCTGGGCTTCCTCTTGTTCTTCTCCGTCCGCTTGGTCCTCATTTTCGACCATCACTTGAGGTGTTTCCTCAGGTTGTGGTTGCGGGTTGGTGTATAATGGCGTGTCTTCTTCATCGTCTTCAAGGTGTACTCTCTCTAATGAATCTGCAAGATCATCACAAATAGCCTTTCTCGCCAAGCGAGTATTATCTTCAGAAAATACAATATGAGGGGACTCCTCAATAGTCAAAGTACGTCTATTAAATACTCTATATGCCTTGCTGCGAAGAGAATAACCAAGAAAAATCCCTTCGTCTGACTTGGCATCAAATTTTCCCAAGTTATCTTTGCCGTTATTATGAATAAAACATTTGCAACCAAAGACTCGAAGATGGGAAAGGTTTGGCTTTCTCCCTTTGTATAGTTCATAGGGCATTTTCATGAGTATCGGTCAAATGACGGCTCGGTTTAACACGTAGCTCGCGGTACTCACGGCATCCGCCCAAAAATACTTAGGGATTTTTGCCTCATTGATCATAGTTCTAGCCATCTCTTCGAGACATCTATTCTTACGTTCCACCACTCCATTTTGTTGTGGTGTACGTGGGGCTGAGAAGTTATGATCAATGCCAAGCTCGTCACACAAATCTGAAAACAGATTTCGTTCGAACTCTCTCCCATGGTCGCTTCTTATGGCTACTATGGTTGTTTCTTTTTCATTTTGAACTTTCTTTAAGAAATTTTTGAAAACGTGAAATGCCTCACTTTTATGAGTAAGAAACAAGGTCCATGTAAACCTAGAGTAGTCATCGACAATCACAAACGCAAAGTAATTGCCACCAAAGCTTTTCGTTCTAGAAGGACCAAAGAGATCCATGCGCAAAAGTTGAAGCGGTCTAGACGTTGAAACAACGTTTTTAGACTTAAATGAAGCCCGAACTTGCTTCCCCTTTTGACAAGCATCACATATGGTGTCTTTTTCAAACTTAAGTTTTGGAATGCGAATTACTAAGTCTTGTGAAACCTATTTGTTCAAAAGGTTCATGTTCATATGAGCTACCCTTCGATGCCATAGCCAAGTGTCTTCCTCTTTACTCTTGAGGCACTTAGCAAAGCCGGAAGGAGATTTGTCTAAGTTAACCATATAGATGTTATCGATTCTATCACCACGTAGAATGACCTTATTATCACTAAGGCGTTCTACCGTGCATGATTTTGAATCGAAGGTCACACGGTTTCCCTTGTCACATAATTGAGTTATGCTCAAGAGATTGTGTTTAAGACCTTTAACAAGCAAGACATTATCTATAGAGGAGTTTTCAGATTTACCTACTGAACCAACACCGATAATTTTTCCCTTGCTATTGTCTCCAAAAACTACGTTTCCTCCTTTAGCGGGTTTGATTTGGAGAAACATGGATGCATCCCCGGTCATGTGCTTGGAGCATCCGCTATCAAGGTACCAAAGTACACTTGATGCCTTCAAGCACACCTATGAAACACATCAATGAGTTTTAGGTACCCAATTTACGTTGGGTCCTCGGGTGTTAGGTGTGTGATGGTAGTGTGCTTGATTTTGTGACAGGTGCCTATGCCTAGTGTAACAAACGGGAGCAATATGGCCTATCCTATTACAATAATGGCAAACTACATTGGGGTTGTACATGTGCCTAGGTTCATAATAGTTAGAGGGTTTAACCATTTTGTTCCTATTTTGTGAAAATGATGGTTTTTGGAAATTTTGAAACTGGCCTCTTCTAGGTGTTCTAGCATTATTTCTTCTCATTTGAGAAAATTCATTTTTATGCACAAAATCATTTTTCTTAGGTTGTCTACCATGACCGTTTTCATTCCTAGGTTTTAGTCTAGGTTGTCTAGTGTCCTTAGGTTGACTAGGTTTTCTATTATCTTGATTTTTAGGTTTCTTATGTTGAACCTTAGATGATTGTGTAGGTGGTGGCTCAACATTATCTTTAGCTTTATTTTTATCAAAACCTATTCCTTCCTTAGAAAAATGCATAGTGTCAAGAATTAAATTTAAGTCTTTATGAGGATTATTAAATTTCTTGATCGTGCTCTCAAGTTTAGCGACTTGCTCTTTTAAAGCTTTGCAAGACCCACATTCACTTGATGAGCTTTCTGGTTTGTCAGCGCTTCTTTTTCCAAAAAATTTGTTTTCTTGTTTAAGTGTTTCATTTTCTTTTTCCAATTTTTCAAAATCGTTTTCAAGTAAAGAAAGTCGTTTATTCAAAGATTTATTTGTTTTAGAAGCGCTAACAAATTCCTCATAGAGTTCATGAAGTGCTTCTTGCATTTCTTCAAAAGTATAAGAGTTGGAAGAAATGTTACATACCTCTTGGACGTCGTCGCTTTGATCTTCGTGTGCCATGAGGCAAAGATTTGCAGCTTCGTCCTCCTCTTGGTCGGTTGATTCGTCGCCGGAATCGCCACCCCAAGAGATGTAGGCCCTTTGCTTCTTGAAGCCAGGCTTGTCCTTGTCGTGTTTGGCCTTTGGACACCTTGGCTTGATGTGGCCAATCTCGCCACAGCCGTAGCACTTGGGAGGACCGTCGTGCTTCCTTCCCTTCCGCTCAAATTCATTCTTCATGAACTTGTGGAACTTCTTGATGACGAGCCCAAATTCATTGTCGTCATCGCTTGAAGCCTCTTCCACCGGCTCCTTGGTGGCTTTGAGAGCTATCCCCTTTTTCTTTTGTTCATCCAAAGACGGGGTTAGAATAGTAGATTCATAGGTTTTAAGATTACCTCTTAGCCCGTCGATGGTGACGTTGGAGACTCCGATGGATTTGTAGATTGCATCGGCTTTTGACCTCCATTCGGGTGTGAGACTCCGTAGGATTTTCCTCACAAGATCCTTGTTGGTGTAGGTCTTTTTGAGGGCATGAAGATCGTTGATGATCTTTGAGAACCGGTCGAACATGTCATCGATTTTCTCACCTTCTTTCATTCGGAACATTTCGTACTCTTGGGTGAGAAAATCGATCTTGGCTTCACGCACTTGATCGGTACCTTCGTACGTCACTTCAAGCTTGTCCCACATCTCCTTGGCGGTTGTGCAACAGGAGATCTTTCGGTAGTCATCGGGGTTGACCGCGCAATATAGCATGTTGATGGCCTTTGCATAGTTTTCAATCTTCTTGATGTCCTCGGCATCATATTCGTTTTCGGTCTTTGGGACCGTGGTTTCTCCCACTTTCTTCATAGGGATTTCTTCGCCATTTTTGATCACCAACCACAATTGGAAGTTGGTGGAATGAATATAGATTCTCATCTATTCCTTCCAATAAGAGTAGTTGGTGCCATCAAAGAGTGGTGGCCTAGAGGTTGATTGACCTTCTCCAATTCCTGCATAGAGATTTCTAGAAGAAGAGCCCATGATCGCTTTACTCTCAAACGATTAAGTTTGGACGCGAGTTAGGCTCTGATACCAATTGTTAGAATAATAGACCAACGCTAGAGGGGGGGGGTGAATAGCGTTTGATCAAGAAATCGCAGGAATAAAAAATGAATAAACGTGAAGTAAAGATGCACACGGATTTTACCCCGGTTCACCACAACTTGTGGCTAATCCAGCCTCCCGAGAGACTCTCTCGAGCTACACTACTATCTTGTTAAGCTTAACGGTGCTTAACAAACCCGTACAACTTGAGAGTTCAAGTCACACGAACCTCAACGAACCTTCGAAGGAAACAGCCCTTCCTTCGAACAACAAGAGAAATACCTTCTCTTGTCAAGTGTCTAAGAACACTAAAAAAACACTCAAGAACAATACTCTCTTTTAGAGTGGATAATGAGTAAACTAAGAACGCTCAAGACCACAACACAAGCTTCACAAAAAATGGCTCTCAAAAGCTATGAAAATTGAAGAATGATTTGCAATGAAAGAGTAGGAGTTGTGAAGTAATGTGATATGTAAAACAGACCCAAACACCCCATTTTATAGTAGACAAAAAAGGCTCCAACGGACCAAAGTATTTAAGGGGTGATTGGCACAATTTGTGGGATTTGATAAAATTTGGATCTGCTGAAAATCACCCAGACAGCGCTGTCCTAGGCCTGGACATCGCTGTTCTAGGCTTGTGGTTTGAAAAATGGGAAGCAACGGTCATGCCAACAGCGATGTCTAAAATCCCTACATCGCTTTTTTGGCTGTTGACTTCCAAACAAGGAAAGTTTTAGCCTTAAATTCCTTCCAACGGTCAGGTCTCTACATCGATGTTCTATACTAGAACATCGCTGTTTAGGTCTGCCTTTGAAGATGGAAGTTTGGCCTGACAGCGCTGTTGCTGGGTCAACATCGCTGTCCAAAAACTTTCTGCCAATGCACTATATTTTTGGCTTAGGTTGGACAGCGCTGTAGGGAAGCCTACATCGCTGTTCCAAAAGTTTCTGGAAATCCAACCTTGGCTCAACAGCGATGTCTGGTGTCCAACATCGTTGTTGGAAGACTTAACGCCAAACCATGTTTTTAGCTACCGAGGCCAGACAGCGCTGTTGATTACCTCAACATCGCTGTTGGGCTGGTTTAGCCAGACCCATGGTTGGTTTAGTCACGCCGTTAGCAGATGTCAAAAACGCAAGTTCTCCAAAATAAAAACCAAGTTTAGAAAACATTTGTTATTGCATTTTGCTAAGAAATCAAGTAAAACATCTTGAAAACCACATCATTTAGTTGAAAACCACGTCTAGTCAAGTTCGCGCCGTTTCGCATGGTTTTCACTAAACGACCAAAAACGGAAGGTGTTTTTGTGGCGTTTTTGTTGGAGAACTAATTAAAAGTGCCCAGTAGTAAAAACCAGTCATAAAAAGTTGAAAACAACTTGGTTGGTTTGGGCGCCAAAAACCAATGCCGAAAACCGAGAGCCGAACGCCGGTTTCTGAAAACCGAACGCCGGATGGCTTGGTTTTTGGTCTAGGCGAACTCCAAGTGTTTTTGGGTATTTTAAAACTTATGAAAAACATTTTTGAGTTTGTAAAAAGAGTTTTGATGATATGAGCCTAGAGAGCCATGTTTTGAAAGTTTGTGCCGGTCTTGATCACATTAAGACCGACTCAATACAAATCTAATTCTTCGTTCTTGATTCTGGATTCTTGGTTCTCAAAATATCATGCCATGTTCCTTCGCCTTGGTTTTTGTTCTCTTTAGCCTTGTTATGTCACGGCGGTTTGGCATTATCAAAACCTGTCATAGAAACGAACACAGATTAGTACGACGTAGGCGTAAACTTGTGTTCCAACAGTACGGTACCTAGGTACCGTGTCACGGTACCTTAGTACCGACCGCCACCAGGTACCGTGAATAAAACACAGTGGAACGGTATGGAGGGTACCGTTTGGACGGCATAGCCTACCGTGCCGGCGGTACCTGGGTACCGTTTGGGCGGTAGGGTGGTACCGTACTATGCGTAACTTTGAACAGTGTCGTCTTCAACCTCGAGCCAAGTTTCGGAAATTCCATTTTTAATCACCAAACTTCAATTAAACTATATAGAAATGTTCTCTAATGTTCATAGGTCATTTTGGTATCATTAATTCATAGTTTTAACATTAAATTCAAGGTTTATGATTCTTGGTTCTTCAAGCATGTCAAACACAAAACTCAACCAAACGACCGTTTATGAACGTAGAAACGATCTATACGAACATTCTAGTCATTAGATATATCAACGGGCTTACCCTGAAGCGTAAGGGGGGTTTTGACGATTTTCCGGCAAAACTTCCGGCAATGATTACTCCCATCTCCGGCGACCATTCACAAAATTGACAGCATCTATGTACTCTCCATATTCATAGCTCTCATATGAAAGAAGAAGGAAAGATTTTGGTGTGGAAATGAGGAAGAGGAGAGTAGCATTTATAGCCAGAGAAGAAGGAAGAAGACAATTGGTGATCCTGGTGATGATGGGTCGATTATTGCGCAGGGCTGCGATGCTGATGAATTTCTCACGATTCTTCTCTGATTGGGACTAATTTGGTCCCAGTCGGGGTACACTTTTTGGTCCAACTTTATCCGAATTGAATTCTGTTTGCACCGTTGCGATCAGACAGTTAAACTCTATCCAACGGTATAATTTTTATATTTATTCGTTATACTTTTTCCGACATCATATTTTTGGGTGGTTGACTTTGACAAAGTCAATATTGATTCAATTGACCTTTATTCAAAAAGGTTCTCATAATTAATTCATATAATTTATTTCCATGATTTATTTCAATAAATAATTTCAAAGTCACATTATAAACAATTTCTTCATTTATTCTTAATTTGGATCTGTACTCAGGTTTCCAATCAAGATCATACAATAAGTCAACATATTGGATTTATCTCTATAAGATTTATCCAGATTGTGATATTGAATATTTAAACATATTTTATTTCGTCCCAAAGCCCAACAACAATTTATTTTAATCAAAACTATTTGATTAATTAATTAATTATTTATTAATAATTCTAGGGTATATTTTGGGGCGTTACATTTCTCCCCCCCTTAAAAGGAATTTCGTCCTCGAAATTCTTCTAAGGCCAAACGTTCAACATTCCGTAGTGATCTTACTTAATCATGATTGTGTCATGTTTATTTAGTTAAATCATATTCACGTCATTATCCACACGGATATGTATTCTTAAATTGTCGATGTTACGAAACTCGTTCTTTCTTCAAGAGATTAACAATATTTGATTAAGCAAGACATTCAGTGATCCTTCAGTTTCAACAATTAAGGTTTCCTTGCAATGTATATGGTTGTATATTTGACATACTCGCACATAACTTCGTTTATTCACAATTTCCCAATTGTACAACGTTGGTTAACGATATTTCTTCTTTTGATTGAAAGTCCTTTAGTAGCCTTTGCCGTTACAAATTATCAAGTTCGCGATAGATATAGTGAGAGATTTTGGAGTTTGTCTTCAATTCACACATCATAACGTAAATTTCACTTTGAGATATCTTCATATCGTTCACATAATTCAAAAATGATTCGCAAATACGTCAAAGGTCATTTAGTGGTCCAAGATTTCCAAGATATGGATTTTGTCATCATTTACGAGGAAGTACTGTCAATTGGTTGTACAGTAGTTTGCCGTTATCAATCTCTTGTCGAAATAATTCTTCGTTCATCTTCGTAGTAGTTCTCATTGTCGTTAATGAGTCTATGTACCAATTCCTATGATAACGTTTAAGGATCGTCTCGTGTACGTCTTGTCGTATTCAAATTTTCTTTCATTAATTTGAAAACATATCTAGATATGATAGCGACAGATTCGATTGTAGCACTATGGCTGATCTCGTTTTGTGGAAAAAGATAATATCTTCAGTACGTGATTCAATTCATGAATTCATAGAGTGAGGAATCTTTACTAGTTCTTATACCAATATCACATATGGGTTCGGGATCTTCACTTGAATGATTCAGCCTGTTCTTGTGACGTCATTTCTTCCTTGGTTGTTGCACACACATATCCTTGCTAGGATTCTAACAATATCATCGATAATAATCTTCAGAGATAGCGTAATCGTATTAATCGTTTTGTAGTTCATAAAGAGAGGTTTAACATAATATTTAAGTCAGGGTAGTTTTACTATTGTGATCGAGTCACATATTCCACAGGGTATAGTTTTCAAAGATCAGTATCATGGTATCACCGAGTATTGGTTTGGTTTCAATGAAGAATCATTTTGATACAAAGAATGATCAAGCGAGATGTTTTCAAGGGTGTAGTTAACACAAGTTTGAGTATTTCAAGGATATGAGTCACAAGATATCAAGACAGCATTTGCGGATTACTGTTACTAATCGTAGGTTTTCTTCTTTCAATATTTTACTCTTTAGAAGTTACTCAAGAGGTCATTGTCTTAGGAAATAGCCATTTTGACTTTTCATCTCAGATTTGAACGTTTTTCCAGGACAGCGAATCTGACTGTTCAAGGGTCTCAATATGTCATATCGCTAGCAGACTATAATATTAGCGAGTATGTTCTCGTCTGTAGCTATATTGAATACATTTTACTGTACGTATTTTGGCTAGTGACCATTACCTCTCCATAAACGGTCAGGTTTCCGAGGCTATATATATCACGATTATGAAACGAGTATTTCACATTCTCTCATTATGGAAGGAAGTTCTCGAACACTTCCTTATACCATAAGATTCGTTGGTCTACTTGGAAGTCATTCTCTTGGTAGAAATCCAAAGTTTATGGCTATTGCAGTAGATTTAGGAAGAGAGTTGATAAGGCGAAAGATTAAACTTGCCTATGGAGGAGGTAGTGTTGGTCTTCAAGGAGCTGTTGCCTCAACAGTCTTTACCAACGGTGGTCTCGTTAGAGGTTTTATTCCTAGGT